TTGTTGGTTTTTCTGGTTTATGGCTGTTTAAGACTTAATTATGTGTAGCTAAATTTCTTGACCTAGGGTTGGATGGATTTTAATTTTTGAATTATTTTTTTTTTTTTTAGTTTAATTCAAGATTTATTAGTTATCTACATGATGAGTTTATGTTATTGAACTTAATGCATTGAAAGCTTGATTACTTTTTAATTAATTTAGTGGTTTATGCATGAACTTGAGAAAGAATTATATAAATTAAACTAATAATAATATAAATAGTGTGTTAGACTATGAGACCAAGAGGTAATTAGTGTCGTATAAGAGAAGAGAGTTAGGAGCTCCTTCTTCCTAACCTAGAGGTTTCTATAAAATTTAATGCCTACTAGTTTGTTTTAAATTGCATAGAGATATGATTAATTTAACAAATAAGTGAAAAATTAACTTAACTTAAGAAAGTTAATTAATTGAGGGCAATCCGTCATCTCATGCGATAACATTGTTCTTTGAACTTGAATTAGATTATTTAAATAGTTGCATAATTTAGAATTAAATGAAATAAAAAGTCTAGTTCCTTTCCATTCATAGTTTCTTTTACTTAGAAAATAGAAAATTCTTTTAGTGTGAGTAGTTTTAGTTTAAGTAGTTTAACTTTGTTCCATTAATTAGTTAATTCAACTTATGCAAAATTATATAATTGATTAAATTCACTTGTCTAAAAATAGTGTGTATTTGGTGCATCAATTTTCTACATTAATTTTGAAAACTAGTAGATGCATAGCCACTAGGTTTGAAAATCGTGGTGGTGTATACTTTTGTCCCACTTGAATCATCACATCCAACAATAGTTTTGATATGAACGTTTATTTGGGAAATGAATGTATTTTGAATTTTGCTTTTCCTCTCAACAAGTTCTGAAATAGAATTATTCAAAATCTTTGTTTTTCTTTTCCAAATCATTGCATTTTGAAATCAAAGCATACCTTTCTTTCTCAAAGCTTCGTTATGAGCATTCAATTCTCTTATCAAAGCCATATTGTCATTTCTCAAAGAGTCAACAATTTTATGTAAATCCCATTTTTTTTTCCTTGTGAAGAGCATTCTCCAAAACTACGTCATCAAGAGACTTTTTAGGCTCTTCTTTTTCAATTGAAAGAGAGGAAATATTCTTAAGCATGGTATTCTTTGCACCCAACTTTTTTAGTCTTTAAACAGTTCATCAAATTTGTCTTGCAGTTCTTCTAAAGAGTCAAATTCATCATCAAGAGTGGATTGAGGGCTTATCTCTTAAGAGTCATGCACCTTGGCAATATGACAAAGACTTAATTTTTAATTATGAACCTTATCATTAAAACCTTTTCTTTATTTCTTTTGTTTTTTCCTTAAGAATAATATAAATAAAAAATAATTGTTGCCAAATTTTTAATCCGTGAAAAAAAATTTAAAAATATTTTGCGTGTATATATGTTTGATTTTTGAAAAATAATTTATATACATTTTATTTAACATA